GTCCCGATCATCACCATCATCATCACCATCATCACCAGCAGCATCAGCATCACCGTCATCAGCATCATCATCGTAATGGTCATCATCATCATCATCATCATCATCATCATCATCATCATCATCATCATCATCATCATCATCATCATCATCATCATCATCCCCATCATCATCATCATCAGCATCATCATCACCATCGTCAGCATTAATTATCATCATGCCCATCGCCATCATCATCGTCATCGTCAGCATCAGCATCACCATCATCATCATCATCATCATCATCATCATCATCATCATCATCATCATCATCATGATCATCATCATCATCATCATCATCATCATCATCATCATCATCATCATCATCATCATCATCATTTTTCAACACCTCGTCCCCCACCACCATCCTCATCCGCATCCCCGTGCCCCCTCCCCTTTCCTCCTTGCATTTCGCGCCGCCACAGTTCGTCCTTCCCCCTGGTGCTTGAAAATGATCTGCTCAGGTGTTTGACGGGTTGTCGGGATCTCCTCCTATTCGGATTCGCGGGCGCCCAAGAGAGCCGACAGACGGCCCGAGGCGGCCCGAGATGCCACTGGGAAGATCCCCAAAAGAGGGGCCCAAGATAAGAAATTCCGCGGAGCTTCGGATGCCCTCCCCCAAGTATTTGCAGGGAAACGAAGGAACAGACAGACCACCAGAGAGGCAATGGACAGGTAATGAAAGATGGCCCCACAGGGCTCCAAGAGGGCTTCAGCGGCCCCCAGAGGGTCACAAAGGGGCGCCAGAAGGTTCCAAAACGGCCTTGTTTATCTCCTTGTTCTCTTCTTCCTCCCCCGCTGTTGCTTCGCGCCAGCCTGCCGGAGACTGTCCGCTCGCGACTACTTGCAGACCGCGCAGTTCTAGCTGAGAGCCAAGACCGGGTATACACCCACTGCTCGACTTCTTCTTGGCGCAGCGTTTATCCAGCAGTTTCCGAGAAACTTCTCCAGAAGTTTCCGAACACCCGTGCACGTGCACACGGTCAACTGCTCGTCAGGTCGGCAGTGCGACCTGGTCGTTGTTGCGCGCAGCCACCGCTGGTGGCCTTCATCGGCGAAGGGCTGGGTTGCCGGAGTCTACACACAGAACCACCAGCTTCTCCAGCTGAAGAAATCGGCCACGCGTAAGAGTGACGTTTCGCTGGAATGACCGTTGGTGCGGGCCCACTCGGGTTCCCTGATCGCTGAATGTGATGCGATAGCAGCGGCTTGAGCGCTTGGATTTGACCGCCCCCCCCGCGCCCCCCTTAAAGCCGCGCGCCAAAGGTCACTATTGCCTAGGGTCACTCTCGCGCGTAATCGAAGATCAACAGAGGGCTCCGAAATGGCCCCAAGAGAGCCCGGGGGGATGCCGCGGCATCCCCTAGACGCTTCCGCGATATCCCACATAGCCCAAATACGGCGACAAGAGAGTCGGAGAAGCTCCCAAGAAGCCCCGAAAAGGCTCCAGGATCACCCCCCGTTGGCCCTCCTACGAGCACATAACTGTCATATACCTTAGGCTTATGTTTGAGTTTACCGTTATCGCGCTTTCGGCTCCAAGTTTCCAAAGGGCGCCCGCGACGCCCCCAGAGCATGCTGGCAATCCGAGGTGGACCAACGGACGTTCCAGCTTGCCCACGAAAGCCCCAGGGGGGGCCCTCGAGGGTTCGGAGTCTCTGGGGAGGGAGGGCGGTATCCCCACGTCGCTTCCACGACAGCTGACATAGCCTCAAGGTGGCCCCAAGAGGGTCGAAAAGCCTTTCGAGAGGCAACATGCATATGTTATCTTAAGATTTGAACCAGACGCGACCTTTAGACATAGGGCGTCCGCGACAGCCACAAAGCCCCCAAGAACACCCGAATGCGGCACAAGAGGGCCCCACGAGGGCATCCAGCGAGCGGGCCTCAAGAGGGCCCCAGAACGATACCAAGAGAATCTCCTGGGGGGCTGTGGCATCCCCAAGACGTTTCCACGGTGGCCAAGATAGCACCACGAATGTCAAAGCCTCTGAAAAGGCCCCAGGTCGTCCCCAGGAATGCCCCCCACAGGCTGCCAAATAATTAGGAGCGTCGACTCGTCGCCCTCAGTTGCTGCCTGTGCTGTTTTGAGTGTACCTTGGACCCCCAGAAGCCTGGACCCCTTCCCTGGGACCGGTATGGTCGTCCCGAGTCGTTTCTTGATGGTCCGGAGGCCGGGTGAGGGCCCCCCGAGGCCGAAAATAGCGAAAAAAATCCCATTGCGATTTGTTGCATGACTCGAACCCCTGCCCCCTCGTTCTGAAGATCGGAGGTCGATGGAAGCCCGACCCCGACAAGCCGATGAGCAAGTGGCCCGTCTTGGGTCCTCCGCACCAGGGCTCCGCTTCGGCGCAGCCGCTAGGACCTCCGCCCCATCCGGTGCAACCGTCAGCGTCCCCCGCGGGGGATGGCCAGGCCGGCCCTCCCTGGCACCCTGCTTGGTGCCAGGGGCGCACCCCGACGACCGGGCGCTGTGGGGGTGGCCTCGCCGCCTCTGCGGGCCTGCGCCGACCGGCTCTCTTGGTCCCCGTCGGCTGTCACTGAAGCTTGTGCTGTCGAAGGGGGTCCGGCCTACCCCCGCAGAACTCACTTCGGTTCCTCCGATTCGATGCGATTCGATCTCGATGGCCTCCGACTCCGATTCGCTTCGACTTCGGATTCCGATTTGGGCTCCGATCGATGTCCTGTTGACGCATACTAGCCTGCCGATTTTCGCTGATTCGACTCTTCTCGACTCGGCCGCCGATTTCCGCCGATCCGATTCGTGTCGACCGCCGATCCGGCTTATCGATTGGATTCTGGGCTCTCCTGCCCCCGAGAGGAGGGCGCGCAGCGGCCCGAGAGACCCGCAAGACCATTCCAAGACGGCCCAGCACGACCCAACGACGTTCCAATCGGGCTCCAGAGGTCGGGCTTCTTGACGGTCGTGAGTGTCTGTAGCTCGATCACTTCGAAGGGCCAGCGCACATCGGTGTTTCATCCTGGGGGTGACAGCCGCGTTTGGGGCTAGTTGAGGCGAAGCGATAAAAGAGCAGGGCTGCAAAATGGCCCCCCAAACGGCCAAGATCGCTCCTAGATGGTCCAAGACGGCTCCAAGATGATTTCGACGAGCCTCACAAGAAGCCTCGAAAGGGGCCCTGGAAGCCCGTGGGAAACGCCAACTATACCCCAAAAATTATACCTCTTCCTCCGCTTCTTCCTCTACTTCATCCTTTCCGTCCAATGTACCCATCCCCCCTCTCTAGGCAATAGCATGAGGGTCGAGGGAGAGAATCAGGAACAACAGGAGGGCGACGAAGAGGAAAAGCATGGAGAGACGAAAAGGGGAAACAAGCAGACTGAGTGGTGGTAAGGTGTTGAGGGGGTGGAGAGACGCAGGGGGAGGAAGGGTGGGAGAGAACCACCGTTGGAGATGCGCAAGCCCCCGCACACTTGAAGACTGAAAGGAGGGACAGGAACATACGCGGGAGGAACACGACCACCTTCCCAGTGCACGAAGTTTGCAGTGCAAGCGAATGTCCAGGCGTACGGTCGGCAATTAGCACTCGAGCGCGCGCGAAGCGCCGGCGATCATTATACGGTCGGGGCGCTTTCTGCTCCAGTTTGCTCCGTACGGGGGTTTGCGAGAAAGTCGTGCGCGGCCTTTGTGGTTGCGTTCCGATTGCAGGTCAGTGCTGTAGACGGAACCATGGCGAGGATGTTGTTCCCGCCCCTCCTGTGAGTTGGGTGGGTCCTCGTTTCGAATCCGTACCGCCGCGCGCCTCGTCCTTCCTTCTTTCCTTCCCTCCTCCTCCTCTTCCGTTTCCTTCCTCCTCCTCCTCCTCTTCTTCCTTCCTTCTCCTCCTCCTCCTCCAACTCCTCCTTCTCGTCTCCCATCAGCACGATCATCATCATCAGCATCATCATACTCATCATCAGCAGCATCAGCATCATCATCACCATCATCATCAGCAGCAGCATCATCGTAATCAGCATCAGCAGCAGCATCATCATCACCATCAGCAGCAGCATCATCATCATCCTCATCATCATCATCAGGTCAGCACCAGCATTACAGACAACGTCAGCATCGTCATCAGCATCATCACAAGCATCCTCATCATCAGCAGGAGCATCATAATCATCATCATAATCATCAGCATTATCAGCATTCATCCTCATCCTCATCATCATCCTCATCAGCAGCAGCAGCATCATCATCCTCAGCCTCATTCTCAATCTCCTCATCATCATCACCATAATTACCCCATTATCCCCATTATCCTCATCCTCATCCTCTCTCTCCTCACTCTCCGCCTCCTCTCCTCCTCTCCGCCTTCCTCGTCCTCCTCCTCCTTCTCCCCTGTCTTCTTCCTCCCCCTCCTCCTCCTCCTCCTCCTCCTCCTCCTCCTCCTCCTTCTCTTTCTTATCGTCTTCATGTTCTGGCCAATGTCTGCACACCCCATCACACGCTTCGTGCCCCATGGGGGGCTCCACCGATGGCCCCAGTGGCAGGGTTTGCATTGTGACTCGGAGCCAGATTGGCACACACTTTTGGTCTGCGGGTCGAGAGCGAGCCTCTTCCGGTCAAGAGCTAGGCGGGCCGCGCAAAGCACTAATTGGGGAGACAGGGCGCGGGCGGGCGGGGCTTCAGGCGGCCGGAGGGCGCGGGGTGCAGGCGGTGCAGAAGAGCTTGCACAGGAAAAGGTACACCTTGGACAGGAGCTGGCACACACACACACACACACACGCCCACATACACACAAACAAACAAACAAACCAAAAACAAACACGCACGTTTCATAGCCCCATTGGGTGCTCCACCGAAGGCCCCAGTTGCTGCGTCCGTACGGTGACTCGGGTCTATGTTGGCACGCTCCTCACACACTTCGTGGCCCCGTGGGGGGCTCCACCGAAGGCCCCAGTGGCAGGGTCCGCATGGTGATTCGGGCCACTTTACGCACACCCCTCACACGTTGCGTGGCCCCAGTGGCTGCGTCCGCACGGCGCCCCGCCCCCGTTTACAGAGTGCTGGGGGGTTCGCCTGGCAAGTTTCTCCCGCCCGTGTGCCGCTGAAGGTGGCAAGCACGCAGCACGTCAGCGCATACTGTTGAGGGGTACGTCGTTCTGGTTTGCTCCGTCGTATACACGCCTTGCCGTAGCTTTCGTGTCAGTGTCGCTTTCTAGGGTACGCTTCGGGAAAATGTATCCTCGACTCAGCGGCACTCATCTAGCGAATTCGCCACACGAGTTCAGGCCTTGGACGCCCTCGGAGCCCTTGGATACGTACGACCAAGGACCCGCCCCTTGAGCGCTGCCCTTGCGAAGATGCAACTCCATGCAGCATTGTGTATAGTGCTTTGGGATCTGATCACATGTCTCGCCTGGCCTCGAGCAAGTGAAAGCATGGTGCGGGTCCTGTCTGTGTGCTGTGCACGTGCGCACGTGGATGCACAGGCGATCGTTTGTACGGGATGGTGAGGTGTCCATTGTGTTTGTTGTATTACTGCTGGACCCTGGGCCGCATTTGTTTACACCGATGTTGTCCATGCTTGGATCTCAGTCGCCGCCCAGGTCATAGCTCGGCGAGCCGAGCCGTCAACTTGGGCATCGCAGCAAGTGAGTGTGGGCTCCGTGTTCGTGTCAGCAGTGCGCAGTTCCACTTTACACCCTCTACCCTAACCGTTCCAACCTACGCCTCTTAAGCCAACTACTTGAATCGTCTTGCATGTGGCCAGTGCCATCACTAACGTTTCACATTCGGTGTTGGTGATTTCGTCGTCTGCCTCTGCTTGTGCATAGCCTTATCGGCAGCATGCCAACCAATCCCAATTGTTCCCCAATCAGAGCTTGCCTCTGCAGGGGTCCTAGCGGATTCATATGGTTATGTTAGCTGCGTCGCCGATTTCGGCGGCCCGCCCGGGTGCCCTGGTGCACGGGAGTTGCGTCGCCGATTTCGGCGGCCCGCCCGGGTGCCCGGTAGCCCTATAGCGTTATAGCTTTATAGCCATATAGCCCTATAACCCTATAGCCCTATAGCTTTATCGCCCTATAGCCCCGTAGCCCTATAGCCCCATAGCTGTACAACCCGATAGCCCTATGGACCTATAGCCCTATGGTCCTGTAGCCCCATAGCCCTATAGCCCTAAAAAGACTCTGATTGGGGCTTTCCTCCAGTATCATGTTTTCAGGAGGACAGTTGCCCTGACGTGTTGATGCTGGTCTTCTGGGCACCCGCTACCACAAGTCACTATCAGCTCTCATCAACTTACGTTGCACATCCTTCCATTGAGCACAGTTTGCTGTGATACGTTTTATTGCAAGTCCTCAGTGGGGCTGAGGCGGCGCATCGACGGTCGACTTGGTGTCAAAAACAGTCTCGATCGCGCTGCATAGATTGGTGGCCCAGTGGCGGAAATGAGCATATATGACTGCGGATGGGAGCACCGAGGTAGCATCCAGATGATGACGATAATCGGGTTAGAATGGACAACACGGGAGAATTATCCAACATGCTGAAGCGAGAGAGGCGATGGATGTGCATGCATGGAGGCAGTAGGGAGAGTAAAGGAAATGTGTCACCTTTTGTTTGCGAAATCATATACGCACTTGGTATCAATCGGCGGTTGCCGTGGATCGTTTGTCCAACGCGTTCGAAGTGAGCGAAACATTCCGAGGACAACCTAGCGAATTAACCCGATAATCTGCTCACAATGAACCTTTCGTTACAACATCAGAGTCTGCGCATGGCGGTTTTGAACATATTGATGTTGATCCATTTTCAGCATGACGTCTGTGCTTGCCGCGGGCTCTTGTTCTTTTGAAACGGCTCCAGCCGGGAAAGTCATACATTTGGCACGGTCTTGATACGCTTCCATTTTCTACTCGGCATCGGCCTTCATGTGTTTCAATGCCACGGCTGGTTCTGGTCGCCCTCAGTGAGCATAGGTGCTTGCGCTGGGCTAGTGTTTCGTTCATCGCTGTGACCATGTCAGCGAGTGGCTCATTTCGGTACGAGTTATTTGAGGGTTCGACGGGGTCAGTCATGCGTTTTTCCTGTGGTGAAAGTTCAAGTCGTTCGTTTTCAAAGCTAGGGGAGGGAGGGAGGACGAGGGCGAGCTCCTTGCTCTTTTTTAGGACAACTCTTGGGCAGTCGAGCAGCCAACGCTCCTGGTTTCATGCGTGACCCCCACTCCCGACTGCACCACCCCCATAACTCTTATCAGCATGTGTGAGGGGGTAGGCGTGCGTGTGCGCATGTAGACATATGTATGTTGACATATACAAGTATATTTCTGTATACCTGTATGTGTATACACACATACACCTACGTGCCCATGCTCACCGGTCCGAGTGAGTAGCGCGCAGATGCGATTTTTGGCGTTCGCCGAGCATCATTGAACGCTAGGCTCGCGTTGATCATCCTCAAACTCTGAAACAATACGTACCCACCACGCAGATCGCGACACGGCCCAACACACCAAT